CGGCGGCGCCGCCGCCGCCGTGTCCCGGCGTGACGGCGCCGTGTGCTCTGTCTTTCAGATGACGAGCTGAGCCTGCTGGTCGTCATCGTTGACACCAACCCGATCTGGTGGGGCAAGAGGGCGCTGGGGGAAGCCGAGGTACCGGTACCGCTTCCGCCGGCCCCGCGGGGCGGCTCCCTGAGGAAATTAACGTTTTTCGGTCTGGCGCTTATTTCTTTGCGAGCTGCCCGCAGACGGGCTAGGTCTCTGATTTCAGAGCTGTGCGATGCAATTGATAATTGCGTGAGACTGCTCTTAACGTGCCTGCTCGGTGTCCTGTATGGCTTGAGCCTTCTTTCCCGCCCCTAAATCCTTCCCATTAAGAAATGAATCTCCTTCAGCATCCTAAAATTCGAGTTCTTTTAAGTCTTCAGTCATTTGAATTGAGAGATTTCTTCTAAATTACTCAATTTTGAATATTATCGTGTTATATCTGCTTTTTTTTTCCTTCTGTTTTTCAGCAGTTCACCCTGTCAAAATGCCTGGATGCGGTGATGGTCCTGGGAAATTCGCACTTGTTTATGAACCGTACCAACAGGCTGGCTGTGATAGCGAGTCACACGCAAGAAAGGTGTAGTTGCTTCTTACTGGTGTACAAACTTAATTTTAAAGTGCTCTTTCCTACAGCTCTCCCCTAAAGTCCTTGTTGGACTGGAGTTTGTTATTGAAACCAAGTTTAAAATGTGTAACCTATCATTCTCTTAAAAATAGAAATTAATTAAAACAGAGTGAGAAAGAAATAAAATGGGCTTTTACTTAAGCAACAAATATATGTAGATTGAAGGTGAGGAGTCGTGTAGTGAGCAGGACAACAGAAGTGGGGAAATTTTCCTGTTTAGTGAGTCCTGTGTTGCCCCTCCACCCCAAGTTATTTGTGAGTCTCAGGAACAAGTAGTCTGCCCCTCAGGGCAGACACGATGTCTGCTAATTTTCTTAAACCGTGCCTTGAAAGGAAGGGAGTGAATGCGGGCATTACTCCATTGTGATTTTGAAGATTGCCTGGCTTATGTAGTCTCTTTAATGGCTTAAGCATTAAAATTATGGAAAGCTCTACTTCTGAGTATTGCTGTCTACAACTGGTTTATTTATTTATTTTTCTTATGAGCATATTGGCAAAACATGAATACTTTATTCTTCTCTTTCAGTCGTTTCTTGTATCCCGGGAAGCGTTGGACTTTTGCAGATCTCTTTGGAGATGGTGGTAGTTTTGCAGAATCTAATTGCTCTGGCAGCAGAGATGGGAAATATGAATTGTTAACAGCAATAAATGATGCAATTACAGAGGAAATTAAAGACCTCATGACGAAAAGTAAGGAAAAGACAATTCTAGGTTTAATATGCGGAATTAGAAAATACTGGAGACTTTCAAGGAGTTGCTGGCATTTCCTTTGTATGCGGCCTTATTTTGGTCTTCTGAATTTTAATGTGTTTAAAGTAGATAAGGTTATACCTGACACTTTTGGGGTCTCTGCGCTAATCCTATTTGCCAAAAATAGAACTCAAATGAAGTATTTATTATGGTCAAGTTCGGCAACTGTTTTCATATATAAAGTAACTTCTGCAGCTTGTCTTGTATTGCAGCTGACATGAGGGGCCAGCAAACAGAAACTCTGCTAGCAGGATCACTTGCTAAAGCACTTTGTTGTATCCTTTTAATGAGTGAATTTTCAAAGCCATTATTTCTATCTATTTTTTAAGACCGTTTCTTATCATATTGATTATGCTTCACTCTAGGATTTACTGTTCTATAATAATATTCAAAGCAGAGATGTTTTTTAAAACTATGATTTGTCTAATAACTGTGGATTGTGGTTACTAAAATGTGTGTTAGCTAAGGTGCTGAACGCATAGTACAAGTACTGGATTTACTTTCTGGTTTGGTAATTTTTGGAAATGTTATGTCTGCTTCTTGGGCATGCTAAGAATAGAGTGTTGATTCCTTAACGTCAACTAATGTAGACATTAACAAGATGAGCAAAGAGGTGAAAGGTAATACCTTTTCTCTTGTTCTGAGTGAATACATAAATATTTGAATTGGAAGGACAAGAAAAAAATGTATGCACACATATATACGTACAAACAAACATGCATATATTTCTGTACCCTCTTTCCCACATTGGCAATAATAGGTAAAGGTTTGTCTTGATCATTTCAAGTTGCCCAATGTGAGCTAGGTCTGGGTGGATTAGAAATAAGCATTTATGGAAGTGAGGCAGAAAGCAAAGAGAATCTTAAAATTTGGGGGAAAAAATCTTAGAACTTCCAAGTAAAACAAACATAATTCTAAAAAGGCGCAAATCCACAAATGAGCTTCCACAAATTAGAGCCCAGTTTTAAATGTCTTCCAAAATTCTTGATGTGGCATCCAAAAGGACCGCAGTACTCTGCATCAGATGTTTCAACCTCTTCCATATTGAACGATTAAAAAAAAATGATTTTTATCTCAGCTGGGTGTAAAACACCTAAAACAAGGAGGTTAAGCATCCGTTGTTGGAAACAATGGAGAGAGCTATCGATTAGGAGAACTCTCAGTTCTTTGGAGAATTAAAATTCTGCTGTAGTACAAACTTTTAGTACTGTGATATTTAACAACACAAATCATTCTTCTGTAGAGCTGTTTTCTGCAGCTTTAGAATCATAGGGTAATTTATTTTGGAAGGGACATTGGGAGGTCTCTATTCCAGGCTCCTGTTCAAAGCATAGACCGCTATGAGGTCAGACCAGGCTCCCCAGGGCTTGAAAATAGAAATAATGAAAATACTGAACATAACTTAGTATTTATAATATTACTTTGGGTCAGATTAGTCTGTGTTCTTGTTCTAGTTTTCTGTTGCATGTGGGTGAACAGTAAAATTGGAATCTCTTCGGGACAAGTAAAAATTGCAAAGAACTCCTTGAAAGTTGCGTGAAGTGCAAATCCTCTTCCAAAGGGACCATCTGCAGAGTTGGGATGATAGTTTAATTTCTTACTCAGTCTTGGTCTTCCTCTTGTGACTTCTGTAATCAGGAGAAGTGCTACTTGTGCAGCTGGTTTTGCGAGGTGAAACTGGACTAGAATCAGCTATACACTTCAGATCGCTTTGATCAGTGAGAATTACCTTGTTATTCTTGAGATATGTATTTGAACCAGTGAGCTGGTAATGAACAGCTTTAAAATTTCTTTCCCGTTCAATATCCAATTGCTTTTGGATAACAAATGAGATGGTATCCACTTTCATAGCAGATCTGAATTAGCCCACAGATACTCGTCAAGTATTTCTGCTGCTCTTAATGCCATTGAGAACATAAAACAGTCGCATACATCTATTTTAACCAAAGTGTTAGATCATGCTGCATAATTACAAGGACAAGCTACAAGGGGTAGAAATAATGTGCTCATGCATTTCTCTTTCTTTTCAATGCTTAGGCAATCAAGAAATTAAATCAAGAATTCTGGTAAGAGTTTTTGTTGTCAATTTTCTTTGAGTGTTGAAATACGGCTGTATTATGTAGACTAACAAGTTTGAATTGCTTTACGTAGGTCATAAAAGCTGCAGAAGACAGTGCACTGCAATATATGAATTTCATGAATGTGATCTTTGCAGCACAGAAACAGGTGAAGTTGGCATTTTATTTACTATATGATACACACTGTCTTTTATTAATGTATAGATGTAACAAAATCGTTCATTTCTCTTATGATCGTGGTCTAGTTAAAGACTTCTTGAAGGTTATGAAGCCTATCATGTCTAGGGTGAAAGGCAGGAGTTTAAAAAACAGACCTAGATCACTGCATTTGAACATGAAAGGTCTAGTAGGCCAGTTGAAGTTTGCTCTGGAAGTACAGACAGTAACCTTTTTTCCCATCCTTGTAGATAATGTATAAGATACCTTTTCTGGTAGTTCTTGTATTGCCATATATTAGGAAGTGGAGGCTGGAAATCTGGATTCGTGTGCTGCTCAAGTAAGAGACCTTCCCTGTGTCTGTGGTGGGCCTGCAGGCTTAAAAATGTGTGCATGCATGGAGCGTTTGTATAGCTGAAACAGATCAAGACAATAACCCTGAGGTTGCACTGGTCCTAGCTGCGTTTCTGTTTTTCATGTCCCTGAGGTCCTAGCTGCGTTTCTGTTTTTCATGAGTTTCCCCTTTTTGGTTGCAGAGTATTTTGATTGATGCCTGTGTCTTGGACTCTGATTCAGGTCTTCTGCAACAGGTACAGGCTTCTTATTCCTATTTATTGTTTACAGTAGTTGTTAGATATTTGATCAGAAATCAACATGTTTAAAGCTCTCCTTTTTGCAGCCATGTCTTGAAAGGGAGCCTCTCTTGCACCATTTTATGGGACATCATTGAGGAGTTCTTTCACATCTGCAAGATCCTTTCTCTTCCTTTAATCATGTATTTTTTCATAAAAATCTGTTTGCCCTTTTATTGTAACATAAACCTGTATTGTTTGGTTTTCCTTTGACGTGATTGCTATAAATTGTTGCCCTCTTCATAGGACTAAATATCACAGAGACACACTTGACTATGTCTGTGTTGGTCAAGAATCACAATGTAGAATAATACAGTAAACACTGTGAGCTTACCAGGATATAAATTATTCCACGTGGAACGGGAGATGCTGTTTTTCAGAGCTCTCAAAGGAGGAGGAGCTTTGTAACCAGTGTTACAAAGTCATGTGTGTAGATTAACAAAATCCTAAAACATGTTTAAGTATCCCAGAGACTGCGATAGGTGAGCTATGCAGATTAATAAGAACCACACACCCCTCCTCCCATTGGTCTCTGGATGTGAGATCAGATCTTTCTTTTTCACTTTCCGTGTTCCTTTCCTTGTTAACAGCAACAGCAATAGGGACGCTCCCTGCTGGGGACAGCTGCTCCCTCTCTAACTTTTCTCAGCACTTCTATTCTTAGTTCTTTGTTCGTGTCTGGCCAACACATTGTTTAGAATTTGGGAAACGCAGGCCTTGAGCAGTATGTGGATAGGTTAATATTCTATTAATCTCGTCAAACGTAAGAAAGATCTGATTATGCTCTCTGCTTTCCAGGCTTGTGACATTACAGGTGGCATATACTTGAAAGTGCTCCACATGCCATCCCTTCTGCAGTATTTGCTGGTAAGTCATTGAAAGAGCACTTCCTTTTTTTTTCCTGTGGCAGATGTGAAATCATACTGTTTTCATTTTCAAGGCAATACTTTACCAATTTATAAAATAGTTTTTCTTTATTCGTGTAGTGGGTATTTCTCCCCGATCAAGAGCAGAGATCGCAGCTTGTCCTTCCACCCCCAATTCATGTTGACTACAGAGCTGCGTGTTTCTGTCATCGAAATCTCATTGAAATTGGTTATGTCTGCTCTGTATGCTTGTCAAGTAAGTTTTTAATATTTAAAAGAATCTAATTTCTTACATTCCAAAGGAACTCCTTCAGTGAAAGCAAACAATTCTTTTGTTTTCCAGTATTCTGCAACTTCAGTCCTATTTGTAGTACATGCGAGTAAGTGTTTCTTCTTCTTATTTAACGGGTGGTTTTGGAAATAAGTTGCATGTATCTGACAATTGTTTTTTTTCTTTTCTTTTCTTTTAATGTTATTTCAGGACTGCTTTCAAAATATCATTGCCGCCTGTCATGAAAGCTAAGAAGAAGAAGTTGAAGTTAGCTGTATAACAGAATTATGTAAATACACCATTACCTCCTCCAGTCGTTCCATGAAATGGAATTTACCTGAGAAATTGATGGCACTTTTTTATTGGCTATGAAAGAGAATTGTATACAGTGTTATTGTTTGTTTCTTAGGGATAAATATTTAAATCATGTGTTTCCTACACAGTCCTCTAAGTAACAGATCATTGCATTAACATGTAACCTGTGCTTAGTTGTAGATAGGAACCAGAAGATACAGCTTGTTTAAGATACAGACCTTGTGAAGTAGAAGGTATTGTGACCTACTATCCACTACTATACACTGCAAAGTTTCAAGTGTCGGAGTTAATTTTCAGAGACAGGGAAGCTCTGGTTCTTTCCAATCATATGTTGATATAAAGGTAAGCGTGACCGTTTCTGGGGTGTAGGATCAGAGCCTTAGCATTACGCTGTTCATGGACTTACGCTTTCAGTTGGGTTTTGCTGCCAGTTTTGAGGACTGAAACGGGATCGCTTTCAAAATAAGCCAAAATTTTCACAACGGTTTGGAACCCGCCTTCCTTTTGAAAGATGTTAATTTGATTCTCCTGCATATGCATCTTCACATGGTTTCACATACTTTTATTCCCTTTGGCTGTACTGTCTCTGTGATGCCTTTTTTCAATTTGATAGCTTTTCTTCAGAATATAAATATTGACTAGAATAAGATTGCCATGT